TGCCTTATATGTGTGTTACTGGTGGGCCATTGTCTTCATCATATTTTTCAATGTGTTTGAACATGGGTTTGTTGTGGGGTTTTGGTACAAGGAGCTAGTGTTCCTGTTTTTCTTGCCGTGTCAGTTGCTTCATGAGGTTTTGTTTTCCTGATAGGTGAAGAAGATTGTTGAAGAGCCTGTTCTTAAATCCCTGGATGCAGTTGTAACCAGCGTGATAGAGGTATGTCCCTACTGAGGGCATCGCTGTGAGATCAGCCTGATCTAAGCATCTTCAGGGAGAAAGCAGGAAGAGTTTGTGTGGGGGCTGGAATGGAAGGGAGTCTGCCTGTGAGTTTTCTGGGTCTGTCTGACACTTTTATCTTCCTGGCTCCTTTGGTGCTTTAGGCTGTTCTCCTGGCTCAGAGCTGTACATTCCAGGCACATGCAAGTCCCGGCTTATAAGGATAAGGAGTATATGCTTAGGGAAGCATATCTTTATCTTTAATGTATTTGGAACTCAGGGCTCTAGCATTGTTTATGAAATCATTATGTTGGTCCTGGGAAGTCTCAAAATCTTAGGGATTATCTGGGTCAGGCCCCTGCTGAGTGGTAAGATCAGAGAGACTGCTCTTTGCCAGGCTGATTATTGCAGTGGGTGTGTGCTGAACCCAAGTCTCTGTGTAAGCCTGATATTCTTCCTCTCACCTGATGACAAGACACACAGTACCTGATACTGCTGGTACCTGGGACTGGGGTAGGAAGCTGGGCAGGAACCACCAGAGCCTTCCTACACTGCACTCATCTGCCTGCAAGCTGTTGTGCTGGGCATCATTTACTGTGGGCTGGTTCTTGGCTAAGGAGCACAGTTCCTGGAACTCTCCAGGTTGTAGTTGGGCATGTCCTACCTTGGCTGCAACCGTTTTTCAGGTTGGCCTGAGCTTTAGCTTTCAAGCTGTCTCACTGTAGCTTGGCGTCTCAGAGGCCTCTTGTTTCCATCATCAGTGTGTGGTGATGTGCGGCCCAGAGCAGACTGGGAGGAGCAGGACGGAGAGCTGGACTGGATGGTCAGACACCTGGACATTTGCTGGGCCTGTACTCCACCTCTATACCCTCTTCCCCATTGAACCACAGGAGTTTTTGGTATTTTTATTTTGTAATTTGGACTTTTTGTTATTGTTTTTATTTCGGATTAATATGCAGGTTCAAACAATTAGGTTACATTGTCTGCATTTGTTAGGTGAGGTCCAAGATGTAGTTGAGCTCCTCACCCATGCAGCATGCCATGTACCCTTATGTTGTACCCTGTTAGGTGAGAGCCACCAGTCCTAACCTTCCCTCTCCCCTTCACTCCTTTCCCTCCCCTCCACTTGAACTTAATTGTGTCTTCTCTGTGTATAATTGTTCATCTGCTGATTTTATTTAGTATTGAGTACATGTGATGCTTGCTTTTCCATTCTTGTGATATTTTACTAAGGAGAATGGTTCCAGTTCCATCCAAGTTAATGTAATTTGGGCTTTTCTTTTATTTTTTATTTTTCTTTTTTTATTAAATCATAGCTGTGTACCTTAATGCAGTCATGGGGTACAGTGTGCTGATTTTATATACAATTTGAAACATTTTCATCAGACTGTAATTTGGGCTTTAATGTAAATGTCCATTTGAAGAAATTGCTTCATAACTGAAAAAAAATTCTTAAACTTCTGACTTAGAGTTATTATAATATATTAATCATTATTTATAATCATTATAATCAAACAATTATGACATGTTTGTTATGGGCCAGATATGAGGATAGGACTTGACTCACTCATTTGTTGAATCCTACAATAATCCCCAGTTTATAGATAAGGTAACTGAGGCTTACAGGGCTAAGGCACTTAAGTCACATAGCTAGTAAGTATTGGAGCCCAGCTTTGGACCCTGGACAGTCAGACATCAGAGCTGCCAGCTTAGCACTTAGTAGTCTGGGCTCCAAAGTCTTGGACTGCTTTCCCAGTCTCTTCTCTGCATCTCCGCCCTAGCAAGGGTATTGTGAGAACTGTGAGACAGTGCCTGTGAAGTGATACAGCACTGCCCATCAACAGCACCACCTTTCGTGCCTGAGCCCTGGTGTGATTCATACACGCTGCTAGAGATTCTCCTTTCCTCCATGTGACCACCCCCCTGCCCTTCACCATGCAGCACCCCACCCCAGCCCCTCTGCAGGTAAGCTTCCCACCCCTTGCTGTGTTTGCAGAGCCCTTTTACACTTGTCAAGAATTACAGTGAACCCCATCTCTCCATTCTCCTGAGCTAGAATGTACAGAAGCTAAGCACTCTATCTTACTTAACCCCTTGTGTGACTTTTTGAGTGCTACATTTCAGATTAGATTGTTAGAGAATAATTTTTAAAAAATTTTTCTTGAGACAGAATCTCACTCTGTCACCCTGGATAGAGTGCTGTGGTGTTACAGGTTATATAACATATAACCTCAGCATATATAGTGCTGAGGTTACAGCAACCTCAAACTCTTGGGCTCAAGTGATCATCTTTCCTCAGCCTTCTAAGAGCCCACCGCAACACCCAGCTATTTTTAGAGATGAGGTCTCTCTGTTGCTGGGCTGGTCTCAAACCCCTAAGCTCAAACAATCCACCTGCCTCAGTCTCTCAGAGTGCTAGGATTACAGGCATGAGCCATTGTGCCCGGCCTTTAAAAGAAAAAAAATTTTTTTTGAGACAGAGCATAACTCTGGCACCCTGACAAGAGTGCCATGGCATCATAGCTCACAGCAATCTCAAGTTCTTGGGCTCAAGCAATCCTCTTGTTTCAGTTTTTCTATTTCTTTTAGTAGAGACAGGGTCTTGGTGTTGCTCAGCCTGGTCTCAAATCCTTGAGCTCAAGTAATCCACCTGCCTCAGTCTCACAGAGTGCTGGGACTATAGGCATGAGCCACCTTGCCAGGCCTTAAAATGTATTTTAATTATGAAACATGAGCTGAGTCTGAAGGCGCCCTGGCTGTAGCATCTGTCTTGGGAGTGGTGAACGTGGCGATCCCTTACTCTGGTGGACACTTGGCTATCTTCCTCCTTTTCTATTTCTGTCCCTGTTCAGGCCAAAGATGGTGGGCTTCAGCCACAGGAGGGTGGTTCTTCCTTCTCAGGTGCAGATGACTTCCGCACTTTAGGAGTTTCTCAACAGCATGAACCTCCTCTCTTTTCCTTGGCCTGATCTCAAAGGGGGCGAAGAAGAATAAAGTGTCCAAGTGACAAGTTGCAATGAGTGGCTTTTCCGTGTAGATGCTGAGTCATGAATCACTGCTCAGCCAGGTCTCAATGTGCAAGGAGAAGGATGGGCAGAGGAGTTGATGCTCCGTGATCACGTGTGTTTCTTCCCATCCATGCAGGCCAGCCCCAGCACTGATGTCTACTACTCGTCCTTCAGTGACCCCCTCTACCTGACCATGTTCAAGATGCTGCGTGACACTCTGTACTACATGAAGGGTAAGGACTGCTTGCGAGTGTGGCAAGACTGGCTTCAGGGCTGCTGGCCCAGGTTGACGGCTGTGGGCTGGTGCCGACTTTGTTTTGGGGCCACTTAAACAAAATACATAAGAGCAACATGGTCACAATACTGAAATTTTGGGGAAATAGCAAATAAAAAAAAAATCTGTCCATGATCCTGCAATGTTAGTACTATCAATGATGTGTTCTCTGGCGGGTTTTATTTCTTATGGTGGCTTTCTAATCAGTCTCTACATGCCATATTGTCCACATGCACAGTTTTAGATATCTGTTCAGGCATTTTAGAGAGCAGAAATGACGTACTCATAATCATTTAACTCTGAGGTAATTTTGTCTCACACTGCTGCCCAGGCTAGAGTGCAGCTTCTGGGCCCAAGTGATCCTCCTGCCTCAGCCTCTTGAGTAGCTGGGACTACCAGGCTTAGGTCAGCATGCCCACCTAATTTTTCTATTTTTTGTAGAGACAGGATCTTGCTATGTTATCCAGGCTGGTCCTGAACTTAGGGGCTCAAGCCATCTTTTGGGCCTCAGCCTCTGAGATGATATCTTAATAATTTAGTTTGCACATATAATTTAACATTTCCTTCCAGTCTCTTTTGCTCTTCCATGCTTTTTTAAGAACACTTTTCCTGAGCTCCTCCTCATGCTGTGGAATATTCTTCATAATATGAGTTTTGACGACAACAATGTGCTCTTACGTCATACGGATGTACTATAATTTAGTTAACTGATTTCCCGATCTGACTCCAAAAGCTCCTGGGAAGCTGAGTTTGCTGGGGTCACAGCAAGGGTTTGGGTTCTCTAAGAGGGCATGGGGGGTTTCCCAGCCCCCACATGCCCTCCAGGAGCCCCGACCCCCTTCCCACTGTGCTTCACGTTGCTTGCTTCCTCAGCTGGTCTTACTGTGTCTGTAACAGTGGTTCTCCTCAACTTCCCAGGCTGCAAGGATGGCAGTTTGAAATGTCTGTGAATGGGGCTTTGAAGAGCCAGAGAATTTTCTCCTTTGGGCTATAACCAATGTTTGCCCTTACCTAATAACTGACAACCTTTTTTCCTCATAAATATCACTGAGGTTTTTGTTACTATCAGTGGAACCAGCTCCAGTGATGAAACCTTCCAATTTAGGTACTTTGTATGTTCATGTGTTAGTATATTAACTGTTTAAAACCAAGTGTGGCTCTGACTTCCTGAGGAAATTATCATTTTTTCTGATTGCCTGCTTGTATGCACGCGAAGGACAATTTTGCACATTCTCTCCAGGTTCTTCTGAGTGGGTATTCTTGAACCACAGTAGCCAGAAGCAAGTGCTACTATTCTGAGGGTTTTATTAGAGAGGAAAAGAGACTATAGCTGTTGGCAGCTGCTGCCTGTGCTGTTCAGTTTTGTTTTAGCCATGATGCCTCTGCTCTTTCCCACAGACCTCCCAACCTCCTTTGTGAAAGAGATCCATGATTTTGTGCTGGAGCAGTTCAACACAAGCCAGGGGGAGCTGCAGAAGATCCTGCATGATGCAGACCGGGTCCACAGTGAGCTGAGTCCTCTCAAACTGCGCTGCCAGGCAAATGCTGCCTGCGTGGACCTCATGGTGTGGGCTGTGAAGGACGAGCAGGGTGAGCCTGAGCCACCACCTCCTCTGTGAGCTCCACCGGGCCCCAGAGTATTTTTCTTTGAGAGTTCCTCCAGACAACTTCTAGAGCACTTCTCTGTACATGGGTACATGCAGAGCTGAGCGTCAGCCCCTGCCATGCCCTGGACATAGGATATCCTGTCCTGCGTGACAAGTGCTGGGCCTGGGAGAATGAGAAGGCCCATGTCCCTGTGGCCTGTGTGTTCTCCCTGCTGCTGCTTGCTGGGTCTTTAGGTTTTTGTGCAGCAATGTAGGAGCTCAGTACTGAAGTGTGAGGTGTTTGTCTAGGGCAGGAGTAGAATGGGAAGCTTTCTCCTGCAGGATGGAACACAGGAACAAGAGGGGGCTTAGGGCCATTACAGAAGAGAGTAGTCACATGTGGCATGGCCTCTCTGTTAATAGGTAGGTCTCTGGGGTGTAATTAAATTTTGTGCTTATTCTGTGAATAAGTGTGTTATATATAAATACTGGACTTTGCTGATAACTCATACCCTCCTCTGATTTGAATTTAGGTGCAGAAAATCTTTGTATCAAGCTGTCTGAGAAGCTACAGTCTAAGACATCTAGCAAAGTCATCATTGCTCACTTGCCCTTGCTTATCTGCTGTCTGCAGGTCAGTCTTCCTGACACCTGAGAGGCTTACATCCTGTCAGCAGAATGTCCCTCTTGTCACAGTGTTCAGGCTGTGGTGGGCACACCAGCCGTGGAGCCGTGCCATCTGAGCTGTCCTGTCATCTTTCAGAGCTTTAAGTAGAGCCTACCGTGGATAGTCCCTCGCTGAGCATGGGCTGCCCCCTGCAGGATGCCAAGGCTTTCTGCAGGTGGCCTCTGGTCCTCCTTTGTTGTGAGGTTATCTCAGGTTTGTAGGGCTGTATCCAAGGCCAACAGGCGAAAGGTGTTAGGGCCACAAAAGGGGCTGCTTCCTGATGTCCCCATTGCTACCTCTGTTCTGCTGAGACTCTGACTTTGTCACAAACCCCACTGACTCCACACCTGCCATTTATAAAACATTTTATTATACTTTTTCCCCCTTAGTTTGCTTCCTAAAGAGCATGTTGATGATATATATCCACCTTAGATTGGGGTGGGGGGAGTCAACACCATTCCTCTTTTTTGTTTTTCTGTCTCCTGGGCAGGTGGACTCAGGGAGCTTAGACCTCGGAAGTTTTTGGTCAAACCTGGGTATCTGAAATGTCGAGGGTCATGTGTTCAGGCCATGTGCTGGGTGATGGTGTGTTGCAGGGTTTGGGCCGCCTGTGTGAGAGGTTCCCAGTGGTGGTGCACTCAGTGACACCGTCCTTGAGAGACTTCTTGGTCATCCCGTCTCCTGTGCTAGTGAAACTCTACAAGTACCACAGTCAATACCATACAGGTAATGATAGACTGAGTAGCCTTGAGGCCCTGAGAAAGGGGCCCTGTCACTGTGTATGAGACTCCCGCAGGTTTTGTGACTATCTCTAGGCTCATTCCTCTGCCACATCTGTCTTTCCCTACACACCCCCTCCCAGTGCCACACCTTTCCTTCCCCCACCTTCTCCCATCCAGTTCTTGCCACCACTGCCAGCCCCATCTAGTCTCATTTTCTTTTAGGAGTCTTCTCTCACTGGGGTGAGCCCAGTGCCATGCCCTGGACGTGGGATATCCTGTCCTGTGTGGCAAGTCCTGGGCCTGGGAGAACGAGAAGGCCCATGTCCCTGGAGCCTAGAGTGTGACTCCTTCATGCCCTGAGTGCTTAGCCAGTAGCTTCGTGTTCACAGCCTCATCTAGTTCCCACTGCCCCCGTGAGAACAGATTATGATATTTCTATAGACAATGCAGCAGTAATTAATAATGAGTAAATACTGCTGTGTCCTAGAGGCCTTGATGTAATGTCACCATCCTACCCACAGTCCTGTGAAGGTGGCCACTTTTATCTTGCTTCAGATGAAAAAACCCAAACTCAGCAGTTGAAATACCTTCCCCAACCTTGTAGCAAGGAGGACCCTCTCGGGCTCTAAGGCCCCTGTTCTCAGGCTGGTCACCTGCCCTTACTGGGCTCCATGCATATTAGTGAGATGACCCTGGGTACAAGACTGTGCCTCACTCTTAGAACTACAGTCCTGTGGGTGCTTGCAGTGCTTTTGGTTTATTGAGAAATGCAATGGTTTATTGATAGATTTTTGATTATTTTACATATTTGTGACCTATATGTTGTTATAGATTATAGAGTGTTCCATACTTTCACTTTGTAACCTGTATATCATTCCTTTTGATTTAAACATATTCCTTTCCTTTTTTTTAAGAGACAAAGTCTCACTTTGTCGCCCTTGGTAGAGTGCCGTGGCATCACAGCTCACAGCAGCCTCCAGCTCTTGGGCTTAGGTGATTCCTTTGCCTCCGCCTCCCGAGTAGCTGGGACTACAGGTGCTCGCCACAACGCCTGGCTGTTTGGGGGGTTTTTTTGCAGTTTTTGGCCGGGGCCAGGTTTGAACCTGCTACCTCTGGTATATGGGGCCAGCACTGTACTCCAGGTGTCCTCAAACTGCGGCCCCCCTAGGACATTTATCCAACCCACCGGGTGTTTTTGCCACTGCTGCCTGTCCTGCTTAGCAGCTGACTTGTCCTGGGGCCTGCAGTCTGGCCCTCCAACGGTCTGAGGGACAGTGAACTGGCCCCTTGTTTAAAAAGTTTGAGGACCCCTGCTCTATTCCTTTGAGCCACAGGCACCGCCCCATCTGGCTGTTTTTTCGTTGTAATTTGGCCAGGGCCAGGTTCAAACCCACCACCCTCGGTATATGGGGCCAGCACCCTACTCACTGAGCTACAGGCGCCGCCCAACATATTCCTTTCTGTCGCAGGCTCTTTTGTTGAAATATTTGGTCAATTGTTTTTATAGTAATTGCTTTTACAAGCTAAAAACAATCAGCATGTTATCTTAGTTTTTTGAACTACAAAGAAAGGAATGAAAAATAATAAGCTCAACCAGGTGCATATTTGAATTTTTACATTTAGTTGCTGGTAATGATATAAAAATCAGTGTGACCAATGAGCACTCTGAGTCAACCCTGAACGTCATGTCGGGCAAAAAAAGCCAACCTTCCATGTATGAGCAGCTCCGGGACATCGCCATCGACAATATCTGCAGGTGGGAAGGGGGTTGTGGGGCGAGAGGGAGGTAGAGGGCAGGCTTCTTATAAAATAAGAGACGTTTATATCTTGTATAACTGGTTTCTGATTATTTTACACCTAAACGTGATCTGTAGAGAGGAAGTATTACATGCTTTTTTTTTTTTTTTTTTTTTTTTTTTTTTTT